ATGCTCCCTTCTTTATGTGAATGGCTAAGTATAAAATACATTTCCTAAAGAAAACCTTGCCATACAAGTATATAAGCAACATTCCAGTTAAAAGGCTCTGGGGGTTTTGTTCAGCTTCAAGTTTGATGTGTGGCACATTAACCATGAGGGCTAATGAGATTTTAGATGGCATTAAGAGAAGCCTCATGTTTAGGCCTAGGTTGGTGATGGCCTGGTAATACTTCAACATGGTCAGATCATATATGGAATAATGTTTTCACTTCTGGGTACCACTTCTGAGGAAGGATATTGAGAGGCTAGAGAAGATTCAGAGGAGGGTGACCAAGATGGTGGATGGTTTTGAGTTCATAGTATACAAGGATCAGTAGAAGAACTGTAATGGGGATGTTTAGCCTAGAAAAAGGAAGACAGTGGAGGACATGATAACTGTCATTAGAAAGACTGTCACATGAAAGAGGAATTAGGCTTTTTCTGTTTGGCCCAAGAGGGCAGAGCTATGAGCTAAGAAAGGGTTGAAGTTGCAGAGAGGTAGATTGATGTAAGATGATGTCAGGAAAAACCACCTAACAGTAAGAAATATCCCATAGTGGAACGGGGGACATTGCTGGATGGATGATCACTCCGGAGAGCTGTTTGTAAAGGAAATTGCTGTTTAGATATATGTTGGACTAGATGCCCTATGTGGTCCTTTTAAACACTCAGATCCTGGAATTCTTCTGTTCTCACCTCTGACCTCTCCCCATCTAAACCATTTTGTACACTCTGCAAATCTTTAGAGTCTCAAGTTCAACGTTCTTATCTTGTCCGTCGAGGTCCTCCAAAACCTGACCCTCCACCTTTGATTTTTGGCTTCAGCTCCTTATTACCTACACTCCAGCTAACTGAGCCATTCTCCATCTCCTAAACATGCCCTTAATTATCCAGCCTCCACGCCTTTACTCAAGCCATTGCCTATGCCTGGAATACCCTCCCTCATTTTCTTTATCCATTGAATTGCCACAGATCCTTCAAAGCCTAACTTAAATGTCATCTCCTCCAAAATTCCTTTCCTAGTTCTTCCTCCCATCAGTTAAAAATGTTCTCTCAGGCCTCAGATCGCATTTTGTTTGCATTTCTCTCATGCCTTTATCATGAGATTCTTTATATTAGAGCTATGTATGTTTCATATCGCTTCATTTGACTGAAACCTCCACACAGCTTAAGTAATGTTTGAATGAATGAACAAATCAAACAATGAATCAACAAGCATTTATTAAATGCCTACTGTATACCTGTGCTGCACAGTGGAGATACAAAGACAACGAATTCTTTGAATTCAAAACCCCTGCTTTCTAAAGGAATTTTATTCTGACAATGAATCAGGACTAGAGCAAGAAGGTTCTCAGTCTTCAGCAGGAGAAGAGAAGAGAGGGGAAGAGGAGAGGAGAGGAGAGGAGAGGAGAGGAGAGGAGAGGAGAGGAGAGGAGAGGAGAGGAGAGGAGAGAGGAATTCTTCAAATATCTGAAGGCTGTCCTTTGGCACAGGAATTAGACTGGAAGGAATGCTGTTTCCCCTAGCAAGGCATTCGTTTACACCTAGCTTCATTTAAAGACCAGCTAGGTGGCATAGTAGATAGGATAGAGTGCAGGGCCTGGAGTCAGGAACACTCATCTTCCTTAATTCAAATTTGGCCTCAGACACTTACTAGCTGGTGTGAACCTGGGCAAGTCACTTGTAATTTTCTTCTCCAGCTCATTTTACAGATGAAGAAACTGAGGCAAGCAGGGTTAAGTGACTTGCACAGGGTCACACAGTTAGTTAGTATATGGGGCCAGATTTAAACTCTGACTCCAGGCCCAGCATGCTACACACTATGGCACCACCTAGTAGCCCCAAGAGGAAGTGCAGCAGGGGACAAAAGAAGTGACCTCATTCTTCTCCAGGTTGCACTTCAGAAATTTGAAGAAAGCTGTCATTCTCTTCTCTTCTCTTCTCTTCTCCAGCTGAGTACCAAGAAGTCTTCCTGACTTCAGGCCTGGAATTCTATCTGCTGTGCCATCTAGCTGCCCATTAGTTTACTGCTCCTTATATTTATTTTGCGTCTTCTATGTGTACACATTGAATCCACAAGACAAAATGTAACCTTCTTGGGGTGGGAACTGTTTCATTTCCGTCTTCCTATCTCCAATGTCTAACGCAGCACCTTGTACAAAGGAGGCGAATGGTTTTTGATTGAAGGCTTAATAGACTTATTCCGTTTGACCATAAGGGACAGAAATAAAATCACTGGAGGGTAAAATTACAGAGTGGAAAATTTCAGCTCTATCAAAGGAAAAAAAAAAAACAGCTTTCTAATAATCAGAGCTATCTCACAACACAATGGGTTGCTTGTGAAGGTAGTGAGCTTCCCTTCACTGGAAGTATTCAAGAAAAAGACTGGATGAACTGTCAGGAATACATGGGGTAGAAAGATGAACCGGATGACCTCTAAAGCTTGACCTTTAAGCCTGTCTCATCCTGCCCTGGGAGTATACCAACTTCCTTCCCTACAATTTCTCTTGCCTCTCTTGCCCCTCAGAACCCAGTCTGGAATATAAATGAAAAGCCAAAAGGGGCCTTTTAGAGTCTAATCCTCTCATCTATACATGAGGAAACAGAGGCAGAGTAAGATAAAGTGACTTGTCCAGGGTCACATAGTTTAAAAATTTTTGAGGCAGAATTTGAAACCAGGTTTTCCTGACTCCCAAATTCAATAACCTCACATTGTCTTCTGGGCAAGAGGAACGTCAGGTCTCTATAGTTCTTGAGGAATTATGAAAACCACTTTCCTCTTCTCCACTAAGCAGACACAAGACACCTGGGGAGGTAAACCCAATGGAGGAAAGGTCACATCTTCAGAGGAAATGACTTGCCCAAGGTCATACAGCTGCCTAGTGGCTGAGCTGCAACTACAAGTTGGATCTCTGGAGTCCCAGTTCAGAGTTCTTTCTATCATACCATGTTGTCTCCCATCCAGATCTACTCCCTAACTGTTGGCCATTGCTTCCTTAGGACCCCCTACCACAACCTCTTTTCCTATTTATTTCAATATTCACAGTGAACCAGGATGAGCAGGGACTAGAGCTCAGGGATTATAGGACCAAAGACATATGGTTCAATGCTAGGAGAGCACTTGGCTTTGACACACAAAATTAATTCTAATCCCAAGAACAGACAGAGCTCCCACTCTGGTCAATAGCTAAGTCCTAACCCTGGTCACAAACTGAACCCCTGACCCTGAGAGCCACACAGCTTGCAGTAGGGTATTATTGGCCACAAGGAAGCCTAGTATGAGTAGGGGGGATTCAACTCCATCCCCATTTTTGGAGAACCAGCTCAGAATACACATCCTACTGAGGGCCATCTCCAGTGGTCCTTATCTATATCTTGGCACTGGACTCTGATGACTCTGGAGGAGAAAGTGAGGCTGGCAACTTTGCACAGCCCTCCCTCACTTAAATCCAATTCACTTGGACATCATGGCATCACCTCCCTGATGTCATGGTCCTCTTTGAAAACAAAACACATCATACTGAAACTGATTAGGGATCCAAGGTTATCAGACTCAATCCTGGGTCTCTATGCTGACCTTGATTTCTGTTCACCTCCTCTCCACCCCACCTCCTTCCCTGCTCCATGGATCATGGTGGATGTTTAGAAAAGTTTTATTCTTGGTAAAGGACAAGACAGAAGAAGACTCCAATCAACAGACTTATGTGAGAAATGATTGTACGGAGAAAGGATGGAACAAGGGATCCAGTTTAGTAAGAGTAAGTGACTGGTAGAGTTCTGATGTCATGAGACATCATGGGGGCAGGGCAAGGTGGAGAGAAGAGAAGAGGACCTAAAAGCCTGAGTAAGGGAGGTTTGGCATTGTATTGAGTTGTTAGGTATCCAGGGATGGGGTACGTGCGGCCTCAAGGCCACATGTGGCCCTCTAGGTCCTCAAGTATGGCCCTTTGACTGAATCCAAACTTCACAGAACAAAGTTCTACCCCTGGTAGGCCATCATGCTTAGGAAGGGAGTGCCCAATAGAGTGAGAATTCACACCCTAGTCCTAAACCAGTAATTCCGAAGACCACTGCCTGAATGGGGGTGGTTGATAACCCCCATCTTTAGAATTACTGTGGTCTATTAGAATCCAGAAGATTACATTCTCTTACATTCTCTAGAGGTATTCCCCCATCCTTTTAGAACTTCAAATGTTCTGTTTCCACAGAATTTGAAATTCTCCTGGGTGGGGATTTCAAATATAAAATCCCTTTGTTCTTTAGAAGTCATAATTCTCCATATCTAATAGAATTTAAAATCCCCCTGTCCTCTGGAATTTAGAACCTCATAGTTCAATTAAAATTTAGAACCCCATGAATCTCTTTGAATTTAGAACCTCAGAGTCATCAGAATTTAGAACCCCATTGGATTATTAGAGTTTAGAATCTCTTTGACCTATTAGAATTTAGAACTCTGCAGATTGCTTTGAATTTAGAACCTCATTAGCCCAGTAAAATTTAGAATCTCACTATCTTCTTAAAATTTAGAACTACATGGGCCCACTGGAATTGAGAGTCTTGTTGGCCTCGTAGAATTTAGAACCCTCAGAATACCGCTATCTTCTTAGAATTTAGAAGCTCCCTGAAATATGCCATTGATCTGATGGTATAATCCTGAGAATTCCCGTGACTTAATAAAATTTGGAATTCTCCCTTCACTGAAGGATTTCATAGAATCCCATTATTTTTCATTGATTGGTTGATGAATCATTTTCAAGAACAGATGGAGGACCCCCTCAAAAAAAATAATTCTAGGTTCCCTAGCCCTGGGGAAAAAGGATCTCCCCTCTAGCACCTCTGGCCACATTCTCTGACACATCCCTGCCACCAGCTTGATTCAGGCTCAGATTCAGTGCTCCTTCTCCAAGGCACCCTTGAATTTTTGTGAGGATGGATGGAAGTCAGCCGTCACTGAAACCTTGTTCACTCACCAGTCCTGCCGTCCCCTCCTCGGTCCTTGGTCAAGCTGGTGAGGCAGTTTTCTGGGCTCTCAGTGCCATCCCTCAGGCAGTCATCCCCCCGGGGAGGGTTCTCACCAGCTGCTAGGTCAGGGGCATCCCCACCAGAACAGGCACAAGGGGTCTGCATGATGCCACAGGGATGAGAGCTCCGGCTGCCAGCCAGACAGGCCTCCAGCCAGCGGCAAAGCATCTGACAGGCAGCCCGGCTCGGGCTGCGATTGCCCACCACCAAGTACTCCACAGAGAATTCTGCATCAGGGCCTGGGTATGGAGAGACCAGGGCCTGATCATCAGACGCCAGCTGCTGCTGTCGTCTCATCTGTAGAAACTGCTTGTTGGACTGGAGAAAAGCATAACGGGCCGAGGGGTCACAGAGACGCAAGACCTCATCAAAGCTCTCCACTCCCAAGTAGGTGCGTGTGGATTCCAGGAAAGAGTCAAACTGGTAGGTACGAACAGGCCAGGGCCCACAAGGCCCAGCAGGCTTGGACACCTTCATGTAGAGGGTATAACGTCGTGGGTCAGGATTCCGGAGGGTCCAGGAGCAGCGGGAAGCGTTGGCTGGGAAGACGGAGGCTGATGAGAAATAGCCAAAGAATTTGCCAAGGACTAGAGTGGCGCAGGGGTCAGACCCCTGACCGGGGTCAGTGCCACCCACTGCCCAGGTTGGCTGGACCAAGAAGAGGAGGAGAGGAGTGAGGATCCAGACCAGGTCCAGGGCAGCAGCCGGGCTCCTCATCCTAGATCTCGGGGCCCCCGGGACTGAGCGCAATCAGCGGCCAAAGTTGGGGAAGGTCTGGACATAACAAGGGTTCCGCGTGTGGGGTGGGAAGGAGGAGGCCAGCAAAGTGCAAAAGGAGATCCGGGGTTAGACGTGAAGGTGGGAACCAGTGAGGGGGTGCGGGGCTAACTGGAGGGCCGTAGCAGGTAGGTGGGAGAGAAGATGCCAGTGAGCAGGGGAATGACGATTTTGAAAATACTTCAAGTTGCGTTTTCCAGACAGATGCTCCCTCCTGTGGCCATCAACTGTAGCTGAGACAGGAAAAATAGAGAAGAAAGGAACATTAAGCACTTGGGAGAGAGTGGGCCCTCTGGCCCTGCCGCCATCTCACTGAACCCTCACGAAGTGGGCAATGGGAAGACACATGACCCACAGAGAGCATCTACGCACCCCTCTCCTACTACTCCCTCCCAGGTCTGAGATCAGAGAGACGAGCATAGCTGGCAAGCCTTAGGCACTGTTGAACCTAACCCCCTCATTTACAACTGAGGCCCAGAGATGGGAGGAGACTTGCCTGAGGTCACATATGCTGAGGTGCTTCAGAACATCACGATCAGCTAGAAATCAGAGGGCAGCCAGGGTCTGGGCCCTCTGCCCACATCTGGCTCCCCGGATGGTGGCCAGCCAACGGCTCTGGGGGTAGCAGGTTCTCCTTTGGGGAGGGGGTGGGGGTGGGGGGCTGCAGGCACCTGCTGCACGTGGAAAAATGGGAAAGGGGGAGCTAAACTTGCTCCTTCTATGGCCTGTCTTCCCAGGCCCAGGGTTCAATGAGCCTCAGAGCTGGCTCTAGCAAGTTAGCCGCCAGCAGTGCCAACCCACTCACATCCCTCCTCCCACCCAGGGAATTCTGCAGGGACCTTTCTCTTCTGTGCCTCTGCAGGCCAACTTGCCTCATATGTCTTCTCCTTCTGGCCTCTGATGGCTGTTCTGCCCGTCTGTTCTCCAGGTCAATCTATCCTGCTTCCCTGCTTTCTCTTTCCCTCCCTCCTCCCTCCTATTCCCTCCCTCTTTCTCTCCCCATTCTTCTGTCTCTCTGTTGCTCTCTCCTGCCTTCCTATCTCCTATCTTCTTTTTCTCTCTTCAGCCTTCCTCTTTCCTCTCTTCTGTTCCTCTTCTGCTTTTCTTTTCTTCTATTTCTCTGTACCTATGTATTTTCTTTTTTCTCCCTCTTCCTGCCTTTGTGTCTGTCTCCTTGTCACTCTCTTCAGTTTCTTCTCTCTCTCTGTCTCTGTCTCTCTCTTTCTGTCTCTCTTTGTGTGTCTCTTTCTCTCTCTGTCTCCCTCCCTTCTCCCTCCCTATGGCCCTGGTGCTATTGCTTCTCTTTCTCCTCTCCTCCCTTTTCCATCTCCATCTCTGTTTCCCTTTTCTCGTCCTCTCTCCAGATCTCTCTCTCTCTCTCTCTCTCTCTCTCTCTCTCTCTCTCACTCACTCTCTCCCTAGCCTCTCCTCTCTCCTCCTGGCTGCACCAGCTCCAAGTTGCTCTCTCTTCTCTCCCCCTGACTCTGAGTCTCTTGGTCCTTCCCCCTCAAGCCAGCCATCCGCTCCCCATCTGTCTCTCAGAGGACTCTGAATGTCAGACAGAAAAGTTGAGGGGGGGAGTGGAGGGATGAAAACCTCTAGAGGTCATCTTGTTCACCCCCTTCTGACTAAAGATAGACTAGTTGTCTCTTAATTGCCCCCAGAAGAGCTGGCTGGGGGTGGGGCAAGTGTTTAAGGAGCAGAGAGCAGTCTGTCCTTATCCACGGAGCTCTGGTGAGCTGTTCATTTGGCCACCACTTCCTTCCATAGTGGATTTAAGGGTTAACCATCCTTAGAAACTTTGGATGTGCCCTGAATCCTTCTGGCTACAACCACCTGTCTGCCTCCTCCAGTCTCCTTGTTCCCAGCACCATTGGGTCTGACTCCGCCCCTCTTCCTTTTCCCATTGTCCCAGCCCCCTCTCCTCTCTCTTCCTACCTCCCCCCCCCCATCATCTCTCTTCTCACTTCTCCCACTCTCTCTGCTTCTCCCTCTGGCTCTCAGTTCACACTTCTCATAGGAACCTAAAATTTAGAGACCATCTAGTCCAACCCACATGTTTTACAGATGAGGAAACTGAGGCCCCAAGGAACTTACCCAAGGTCACATAGGCAGCTCCCATCAGAGATGGGAATTGAAGCCGAATCCTCAGATTCCAGACCCACAGATCAGACTCTGAGCTATTACTATGGTCACTCTTCTGGAGGGTAGGGATGAAATGCAGCAGCCTGTCCTTGTTATCATACAAAGACCCTACCCCAAGACCAGGAGCTGGGTTCAAGTCCCAGCTCTGCCAATGACTTGCTCTGTGACCCATAGCAAGTTCCTTTCCCTCTGATAAAGGGCTCAGTTTTCTGTGAAATGAAGGGGTTGGATTAGATGTCCCTTAAAGCTGCTTCTAGAAATGTACAAGTGCAGTTACGTGGCCTTGGGCAAGTCATTTCCCCTTAACTAGACCTTAGCTTCCTTCTATCTAAAGGAGAGTGTTGGAGTATATGGTTTCTAAGGAATTCCCTAAAATGGCCTAAGAGTCTGGCATCTCTCCTATGCTCATTCTGTCCAACCAAACATGGAAATGGTCTTTAGTGGCATACCATTAGAAACAGAGACATTAAGGATTCCAGGACCCTGGGACCCGACCTCCCTAAATCTCCTGTCCTTGACATGAAACAATGCTTTCCTTCTTGTGGGCCCTTGGTCTTCTTGCCTCAGCTGCTCAGCCTACAGCACTCTAGAGATGCTCATGGTTCTCTGAAGACTAGACACGGCTACTAGAGGCCACAGCCAGAATTACAAGGTGTTATCTCAGAGACATCCCAGAGGCCGTCTTGGCTCTCATGACACACAGACAGAGCACATACGTGGGAGATAAAATGCCTAGTTTGAGAAATAACAAACAGGAGTATATGGCTTGAATGGAAAATGTGGCATGAAGAGTAGTGACGTGAAATGACTGGGAAGTTTGGCTGCAGCCAGACTGGCAAGGGTTTTCAGTACTAAGCTGATAAGCTTGTATTTGATCCTAGAGGTAACAGGGAGCCATTGAAGGTTACTGAGTAGGGGAGTGACTGGGCCAGACTTATACTTTAGGAGCTTATTTTGTCAGCTGTAAGGAAGATGGAATGGAGATGGGGAGAGGCTGAAAAAAGGAAGGAAGGGAGGGAGGGAGGGAGGGAAGAAGGGAGGAAGGAAAAAAGGAAAGAAGGAAGGGAGGGAGGAAGGAAGGAAGAAAGGGAGGGAGAAAGGGAGGAAGGAAGGTAAGGAGGGAGGGAGGGAAGTAAGAAAGGGAGAGAGGGAAGGAGGGAGAGATGGAGAAAGGAAAGAAGGAAGGAAGGAAGGAAATAAGCATTTATATAGTACCTATCATGTGCCAGGCACTGTACTAAGTGCTTTACAAAGAGTCTCTCACTGGATTCTCACAACCACCCTGGAAGGTAGGTGAGGTTATCATCCCCATTTTACAGTTGAGGAAACTGAAGCAAATAGAAGTTAAGTTACTTGTCCAAGGTCATACAGCTAGGATGCTGTTAACAATAGTCCAGAAAAGGGAGGGAAAGGGCTGAACTAGAGTGATGACTGTGTGAGTGTCTAGGAGTGCAAGGAAGGGAGAGATAGACGTTGTAGTGGCAGAACAGATCAGAAACACTTTCCTTTGTGGCATAAGGGAAAGGGAAGAGTCTGAGCTTGTGAGCCCAGGTGACTGAAAGAATGGTGCCCTCACAAGAAACAGGGAAATCTGGAAGTCTGCTGTGTGGATGGGCAAATGGGGGGTGGTGGAGACTATGAGATACATTTTGGATATTTGATTTTACAGGATAGCCAGATGGAGATGTCTAATGCAATGCAAGACTAGAACTGGAAAGACACTAGGCTCGGGTATGTGGACTCCTCTAAGAGTTATATATAGAGAGTGCAAGTCCTTCCCTTGGAATCCTTTTCTCCCTTCAAAGCCCAGCTTAAGTATCACTTCCTCCAGGAAGTCTTCCCTGATCTTCCTCCTCCCCCATATGTCAGTATTTTCTCTTTCTTTTCCAATAACTGTGTATTTACACGAATGGACTGCAAAGATCTAGTTCAGCACTTGGGAGCAGGGAAAACATCCTCCCAGTAGAAAAGCAAGCATATTGGCCTTTGGATCCCTAGCACCTAGCAGAGTGCCTTGCATATAATAGCTGCTTAAGCTGTAAATACCCATCGCCCCCTTTCTCTGGTAGCAAAGACCTGAAGACAAAGCAGATGCCCATCTATTGGGGAATGGCTAACACTCATGGCAAGTCAAATGGAATGTAATAAGCAATGAATGTGGTGAGTGCAGAGAAGCATGGTAAGACTTACATGAACTGATGCAAAGAGAACAGCACAAGAAAACAACATACACAATTGACTACACAAACAGAAATGCAAAGAGCAATAGCAACAAATAACCAAAGTTGACCGCCATGAAATTATGACTGGGCTTGGTTCCAAACAAGAGATGGGTGCATGCAGCTTTCTTCCTTTGTGGCAGAGGTGGGGGATTTGGGGTGTGGTGCATTGCACATAATGGTGAACTTAGAGAACATGTGGCTTAGTTTCACTGAATTGTTTTTCTTTCTTTTTACTTATTCTTTGTTTTATAAAGGATGATTCTCTGGGAGGGGGAGAGGAGAGGGATATATTGGGAAACATAATGCCCCCAAAAAGATATCAATAATTTGAACAAAACTATTTGTTGAATTGTAGAACTAACTATATGCATGAGCTACTATTACTTTCTCCACAAATGCAATAATATATGGTTTGGTACTTAATTTTTCCTCCAGAGATTATAGGGTGAGGCTTGGTTCCCCAATAAAAGCTCCACGTGGTCAGGACCCTGCTCTATTCCTCCTCTATCTCTTCTCTATGAGCTTCTGGAGGCCAAGGCCCCAGATTCCTCCTTTCATCTCCCCCAAAGCAGA